CTAGGGTGTGTGTGTGTGTGTGTGTGTGTGTGTGTGTGTGTGTTTTGTGTCCCATGAAGTTGGAACTGTCTCTTAGCTGGATCATCAGAGGCTGTAAATTCCACAGGAAGAGATTGCTCATCTTTCTCAGGTAGAAATGCTGGAGGATTCGAACTTAGTACTTTCAGGTTGACAAAAGCAGCTCCTTGCCACTAGGCCCCCAGAGCTACTTTGGAATAACTCTTTGTAATGGTTACATCTTGCTTTTCTTCTTTGTTCTGCATAGGGAGAGGCCAAAAGCTACATTCTAGATGGCCACAAGCAAGTTTTTAAGATCTCAGTTGCTATTCGCCAAAAGTAGGATGTGGGGCATTGTATTTGTGGACTGTAATATGCCAGCTGGCCTTGATGCCCCCCCCCCCGGCTGTGGACATAAGACCCCCAAACCAGTAACTCATTATATCAAGGTGTTTGATCATGAGTAAGAAACTTAGAAAGCATTGCCCCATTAGCTCTGATATATATTTACAGCTTGTACTAATGAATCACAAAGGGTTTTAAACAGATACCTGTCACACTTGAGCTCACTAAATAGCAGTTCAAAACCGTGTTGTCCACGTGTCTGACCGTACTTCTGCTGTTGAGTTGCTTCCTCAGGGTAACCCTCTGTCATGCTGCCAAGGCCAGAAATCGCTCAGCCTTTTGGTTTATCATCTGGCACTTCACTGCACCAGCACGGTTCTTCATAGATCCCATGGTGAATGGAAATTTAGACGTGATCCCTGATAAGTCAGTTCATCAGTTCTCAAGCTGGTTGCTGGAATAATAAGACACATTATCTTGTTTAATGTAGAGTGTAATTCTCAGTTTATTACTCTCCCATAGGGTCATTGTGAGTTAGAATGGACTTGATAGCAATGAATTTGATGAAGAGAGAGAGAGAGAGTGTGTGTGTGTTCTTTAATCCATTCCCACCAGTGCCCTTTCTCAGACTTGGTTCTGTTGTCATGCTGTCTCTGGCCATTTCTCAGGTCTCGTGCTGTGCGACCTGGCCTCAGCATTCGTCCCGGGTGATGACTTCCTTCCTCCATCTATTCCTCCTCGTTTCCTTGACCCCTGAAGGTTGAAGGGGCCCGAGCCTCAGTTCTTTAGATTTTGTTCTATCGGTATGCGTTCTCTTGGGGTCACATACACTTTAGCATTTTCATCTCGCCTGAGTGCTAGTGATTTCCAACCTTTTAACTCCATGCATTTGCCTGATTGTGTATGCACACTTAGGTGTCTCGCCACAACAATAAGCAATATAAAAAAACATGAACAAATCTCAAAAATGCTAAGTGTGAACACAAAAAATTCAGATACTAAACAATGCATACTATATGACTCCACTTAAATGATGCAAGATGCAGGAGCAGCAAGTTTGGGAGACAGGATCAAAAGCTGACTTTTCCACCTCAGATTGTGCTCAGCTGTGGAACTTGTGGAAAAGTCAGCTTTTGATCCTGTCTCCCAAACTTGCTGCTCCTGCATCTTGCATCATTCCTTTCTTCTAGTTGCTGAAGGGCAAAATCCCAAGAGTCGGTCTTAATTACTTTCTTTATCTGGTAAGCCACATTCAATCAATCAGCAAACATTATTGGAAATATAAAAATACATCTAAAACCTGACCACTCTGTACGTCTTCCTACAACTCTAGTCATCAGCTCTCCCCTGATGATTGGAGTAACTTCTCGCTTGTGTCTCCTAATGACTCCTCAGTAGCCAGAATGATTCTTTTAACACATGTTGAATCATCTTTCCTCCTCTCAAAACCTTCCAGTAACTTTACATCTTACTCAGAGTAAATCAAAGCTGAAATCTTTGCAGGGACCTTCTTGGCCTTACGTGATCAGGCCCTCCTTTATTTCTCTGGCCTCATCTCCTCTGACCCTAAGTGTTACCCCAAGCAGGCACTTTGCACAGTGTTCCTCTCACTGCCTCAGCACCTTGCTAGTTGTTCCTTCTCCCTAGAAAGTGCTTTTAAGTAGACGCCCCAATCCTTCCCTTTGTCGTTCACCAGGTTTTCAAATGCCTGTTATTTTGAAAGTAGATGGCCAGTCCTGCTTCCTGCTCTGTCTTAATCTAGGAACTCGGGGCATGTTGCTAGGAGAGGTTATTTCTTGGGAAAAGGGCATCATGCTTGGAAAGATTGAGGGTCAGCAAAAGAAAGGAAGACCTCCAACAAGATGGGTTGACTCTGACTGCAGCAAGGGGCTTGGGTGTGCCAGAATTGATGAGGAGGGTGCGGGTAGGACAGTAGCAGCTTCCTTCACTTCCTTAAAGACTCTCTCTTACATGTTAGCTTCTAAAAGAGGTGTTTCCTGCCCACTGTGGTTTCTACCTGTTGTTCCTCATGGGGTTGCTGTGAGTTGTTGTTGAGCGGCACCTGGCAGCTATTGAGAAGCTTCATGTTCTTTCTCATCTCTGTCCTCTGTCCTTCTTCCCTAGTTTCCTTTTTGCCGCAGCACACACTTCCATCTAATGCAATGCATATTTGACGTATTGATTTCATGTGCCTCTTCCTCTATCCTGTAAGCGCCACTAAGAAACATTTTTCTCCTCCTCATCCCGTGAGCCTAAAGAGCACTTGTGGCTTAGTGGTGAGAAGCTGTGCTGCCATCTCAAAGGGACAGGGTTTGAATCCATCAGCTGCTTTGTGGAAGAAAATTGGATAGTCTCCTCCCGTGCATTTGACTGCTTCTGAAAACCCACTGGAGGGTCAGCTAAGAGTCAGTTCTGGCAGGACAGTACATGGCAACAACAACGGTGGGTAGAGGGTACCAAGCCAAAGGCCTGTGATTTGAACACACCAGCTGTTTCTCAGGATATAAGTGAATAGTCCCCTCTTGTGTGATTTACAGGTTCTGAAGACTGCCTGTGAGCTGTTTCTTAGTCCATGGCAATGAATGAGTGAGTGATTCCAGTGTCTAAAACGGAACTTGGCCTGTTGAACAGAATCTGCCACCTAGAATTTTATGTTGAGTAAACAAGCTTAACATAAGTAAATTCATAGATCATAGACTCACTTAAAAAGTACTTTGTAAAAGTTAGCATTTATGAGCAACTTAATGGCCTGTCCTCCGCCATGGCTAGTCCTGCAGCCCATCAGGATGATGGCTGACCGGAGATGTGTCACCAAGCTGTTGAATACCACAGAGGAAGAACTGTACTCATTGCAACTTTAAAGACTGGGACCTTAAGGAAGTAGGTTTCCAGACCTTTCTTTAGAGGATTTGAACTGCCAGTCTTTTTCCGCAGTGGTCACATGCACACCATTGGTGCCACTGTTGTTGTTAGGTGCTCTGGAGTCCAGTACGACTCAAAGTGACCCTGTGAACAGCAGATCTGACCCCGTCCTGTCCTGCGCCATCCTTATCATCTCTGACACACTGGAGCCCATTGCAGCTGTCACTGTCTGAGTCTGTTAAGTAGACAATGAGGATTTCCTGTTAGAGCATGAGTTTGCCTTCAAGTTCCTCTTGTCGCTGTGTTATTAGATGACTCAGAGTAGGATCAGACTCATATGCCCGTGTGCACACAGCAGGTTGGGGCCCTGGACCCGCGCAATCTCATAGTGCCCATGTATACAGCAGAATGGGGCCCTGGTCCCCTGCCATCTCACAGTGCCTATGTGTTTACAGCAGGATAGGGTTCTGGTCCCGTGCCATCTCATAGTGCCCGTGTGCACAGCAGGATGGGACACTGGTCCTGCCATCCTCATGATTTCTGCTGTCTTGGGCCATGTTGGGGGACCACCATGCCAGGCCTTGTCCAGGAAGATGTCCCTCTTTCACTGACTGACTTTACCAGCATGCCATCCTTCTTTAGGGGTTGGCCCTTCTCAGTGCTAAGATGTTGTGTTACCAACCCAAGAGCATGCGGTTCGAATCCACCAGCTGCACCATGGAAGAAACATAAGCATTCTCCTCTGCAATTTACTGCCCTGCAGACCTGCTGGAGGGTCAGCTATGAGTCTTTTCTGACTCAACAGTTAGCACAACACAAAATAACAAGTTTAAGAGACAAAGCCTCATCTTGAAGCAGCATTCTTGTTACACTTTTTAAAAAAACACAGCTTTGCTTTTCTGGCCGACCATAGTGTCTTCTTCACGGCACTGTTCTTGAAAGCCATCAGTTATTTTTCAGGCTTCCTTATTCCTCATCTCACATTCACCTGCACTCAGAGGGATTGAAAAATAGCACAGTTTAGATCCAGTGCACCGGAGTCTTCAAATTGTCAAACAGCTCTATAAACTATGAAGAAATCCTTCACTGCAGACATATTGCTCAAGGCCACATCTTTGATTCTCGCCTGCTGCTTAAATGGGTGTTCATAGTGAATCCAAGGAAAGGGAAATCCTTGACAACTTGAGGTTTTTTCTGTGTTTTTATGATGTTGCTTACTGGTCTAGTTGTGAGGATTTTAGTTTTCTTTTATGCTGAGGTCTAATCCGTACTGTAAGACTTGACCTTCGATCTTCATCAATAACTACTTGGTGTCTTCTTAGTTTTTAGTATGTGAAATGTCATCTGTATATTATTGCAAGTTGTAAATAAGTTCCTACATAGTAAAAATGTTTATTATTAAGAAATAATGTTTTCAGTGTTTTTCCTAGTTTGTTTATCCAATGATAAAAGTAAGTTATGACAGTATGAGACACCTCATTTTTTAATCTTGGGATGTGTGCATTTGTGTGTCTGTCTCTCTGTCTTGCTGGTAGAGGGATGGTGAGATTTACTCGCAGAGAGTAATATTGTTAATAGTTATTATGGCCCAAAGGTAAAGCTTAATGAAAATTATTTGCTTAATCATTTTTATTTCAGGAAGGATATGGATCTAATAGATAGTTAACTAGTAGCAATATGTTTTTGTAAATTATTAACATAGTATTTCTTTAAGAAATACTTTACGATTACTAAGAATGAATGGATGCGATATTTCCTGTGTTTCATTATTAAAGACATTGTTTTTATTCTGATAGGCTCATAGCTGGCAACCTGGGATAAAAAACCCGTACCGTGGTGTTGTAGTGTGGCCTGTTCCAGAAAACATTGAAATCACTGTGACACTATTTAAGGTAAGTTCCATTTTTTTTAAATTTTTTAAAAAAATTTATTATTAATTTCAATGAAAATTTACAGAGACTTTGGATTTCCATTCATTCATTCATTGTTGCCCTTTTCTCCCCTTCCACCTCCCCCGCCCAGTACACTACCCTCTTGGAAAAGTAAAAGAAAAATTCTTTCATTGTTTTACAATCCCTCCCCCCAGGTCCACTCCACTATGCAGCCTTCGCTCTGGACTCCTGTCATGACAAGAATAACTAATCACATATCCCTTTTAAACAATTTTCTCCCACATCTGTTTCAATGCAGTATAC